TCCAATTTTGCTCGTAGACAAATTTCGTTGCAGGACGGCTCTATAATCCATGTTCTGCGCGGACGATTCAATCCAAAAATCCAGCTAGATTGGCGCGGAGCCCAGCAGCGTGTCTGCAACGCCAGCTTTCAGCTGTTCGCCATGTATCTTTTGCACGATCGCGTAGGCTGTCCAGCGAAAACGTCTTCCTGAGTGATTCTGAGAACGACGAGCTCTACATGCAAAGTGACCGGCTCGGGCGAGAACTAGCGTGAGACTCAAATTGTCAAATTAGAACTGCGTGACCGGCCGCGCCCCCTGCCAAGCTCGACGAGAAGACATACTTTCGGAAGCCAGAGCACGAAGAATCAACATCCTCCTTGCATCCAGGCATCGGCTTTCGCCAACAGTTTGTGCAGAAACAGTGTGCAGCGCACAGATCGACTGTCAGGCGTCTTCGGTCCAAAAGAAAGGCGAGTTGCGTCGTCTGAATAGTTGCTTCATACCTATCCACCTCAAGCGCAGGCTGCGCAAGAAATGAGCGAGGACGACATGCCTCTGAGCAAACTATTCCCGACGTCAGCCACTCTCAGCTTGAGATGACATGCAAGAAAACATGTCTTTGGGATGCACATGTGCCTCACAATCGAGAGCCCAGCGCCACCTATTAGGAGGGACCCCGGAGCCCTATTGCGGGAAATACAGCCTAAAGCCCTATTATGAAAAAACCCAGCAGTCCAGAGCCCAGCTCCACCTATTATAAGGAGTGCAGCAGCACGAGCCCAATTGGATTCCGCTTGTTGTGAGAGAATCCAATACGGAAGCAAGTTCGACCTACCTCGTGAGGAAATGCAGCATCCCAGAGCCCAGTTCGACTTATTATGAGGAGCAAGCAGTCCGAAGCCCAGTTCATATGAGGTAATCAGCAGCCTGGAGTCCAGTAAAGCAACCCGAAACCCAGTTGGACTTATCATGAAGAAATCCAGCAGTCCAGAACCCGAATGCTTGGGCGGAGCGCATTCAGCTGTGGCAAGTGTTTCTTTAAAACTGGCATGAATGCTGTTTCATGGATTTGTGCCGTCAGCTCGCGATCAAGCATATCCCGCGCCAGCCCTCTCTTAAACTCGGCGGGCTGATGGATCTCTCGCGCTCAAGCTTTGACACACACGCAACGCTGACTGTGGCATGCCCGCCACAATGTGCGCTAAAATGGCACATTGTGGCGGGAATGATGGAGCATTATGACTCCCGACCCAAGTCCCTGCTCGAGGTGAAGAAAGCCACTGGAAGATCGGGGGGCCTCACGCCCGAGGAGCGTGTGGAGCTTGGCCAGCACCCTCTGCGACTCATTGCTGTGAGCCTCGCAGATCGCATCGCGGCAGACGTCCATTGCTTGTCTGTTGATGGACGTAGATGTGGACCCCGAGAAGCACTCCAAGCGGTCGTGGCGGAAACGAACGTGCACATCTCCACAATTGCTCAAGACCAGCTGATCAACGCTTTTGCCAAAATGAGACGCCGAGCCATGAGACGCCGAGCCAAGCAGCAGCAAAAGCTGCGGCAGAACTAGTAGCGACTCAGCTGCTCGCTTTTTTCACCCTTGCCATTGCAACTGGAAGGCGCGCTTCCTGCAGACGCATTTAAAACTTCGCGCAGAGCACACATGACAGATTGCAAGCCCGTGGCCCAATCATTGGCCCTTTGTTCAGACACATGTCCTTGACTTTAGCCTGCAAGATAAGTTCCGCCCTTGTTCTCAGGGCGTATGAGGCGAAAATGCCCGCATACAGCAGAGGCGAAAGCAGAAACATCAATGCACGCTTGCTCCTTGCAGTCGCATGACATGATGAACATCGACCACCTCTACCAGGAAGCCCTTTCAGCTCAAAACCCAGAAGCCATACTTCATCACGCGCCTCGCTGAAGCGATGGCTGCCATTAGCTTCCTGAAGTGGACATTCGCCTATGAGCACTTTGCAGGCAGGACATTAGACTAAGAAATGAAGTTACGCCCTGGCTGCTGAAGCACTCCGCGCCAACAGGATCTGGTGAGAGCCGCAGCCCCGCGTCCATCGCAACATCGTGTCGTATCAAAATCTAGTTGGATTCAATCAACGCCCTGTGCATGAGGCCCACAACGAAGAAGTGAAATGCTTCACCTGTATGCTATCATTGCTCCAAGGACTTCGCTGAGGCCTGGATTTGGATGTTTAGCGTTCACTCAGAGCACAGCACCCCAGAAATTTACATTTACGTACTATCATTCACTCAGAGCACAGCACTCCATCCGTATATGCTGCACGAGAGGCGTGTTGTTTTCAAGACGTCCGCCCACAAGCTGACTGATTTGCACGGCAGCTGGGTGATCAGACAAGTCGCTGGCTTCACAGTCCTTGAAGTGAGCTTCAACTGCCGTGGCCGTCGTGGACGCAACGTGTGGTTGGCGTTGACGGCAGGCTCGGGCCATATATTGTTTCTGGATCATCACGTCTGGGCGAGTCCTGCTGACTGCCCTCAGGACCCGAAGGTGTATTCTTCGGTCCGCATCGCAATGGATGGGACTATGTCAAGATGACAAGCATCTCTATTGAATGGCTTAGCATCCCCACTACTGTGGCTCTCGAGTGGGCATGATTTTTTGTATAGACAGAAATCGCTCAATGTAGCGAAGCCGGACAACATTCATTGGCAGCAGCAAAAACAGCCGAGACACTTCAGAAGCCTCGACGCTAAAGGCTTCATCTCACGCACCCCATTCGATGCTCAAACGGAGCAGGAGCTGTAGAACAGAACAACAGAACAAAGCGCCTAGGACCCTCTCGAGCTGCCGCCAGCAATGGCAGCGCACTACGACCGCGAATTCTATCAGACAGTGGTATCAAGTTTCATGGCAGCAGCACGCAAAATCCCATCGAGCTTCGCGATTCAGCAACCAGTAAACCGCGAGTTCGCACCTGCGGAGACCGCCGGGAACATTCGAGAACTGTCGCGCCACATGCACCTCAATGAGTCAGATGCCCAGTGGCTGATATTCCTGGCAACTCAAATTCAGGCAAAGGTCGGGCCTTGGTCGCTGTCTCAGTTTTGGAAACTGAAGCAAGACATCGTCGCTGCAGAAGAAAGACACAGAAGACCTCGAGAACCATCGCCTTTCAGCCTGCCGCCGGCCGCCGTACAGATCCCAGAGGCAGAAAGCCAAACGAGTCGCTCGTCAACATCAAGAAAAAGATCGAGATCTACCAGTCCATGATCGGTCGGGCCAGAGCCTCAACCAAAAAGCTCATGTATATAGGAACGATAACAATGCAGGTCTTCCGTCGAGAAACGCTACCCAGCCTCTGAAACAACCAAGCTTCTGGAAATACTTCAGCAACCATCGAACTAACCAAGGACATTCAAAAGACAACTCCAGCAAGACTGGGAAAGCGCTGACGTGCCGAACTGTCCGAGACCCTTTACTTCAGGCGCAGAAAACAAAGAAGTAAGTGTACCATATACTGTTCATGCGACATCACAGGGTCCAACCGTCGGCCCAAGAACACACAATGCAAGACAGCAGAATAAACACTGAATATTTGCAACTTCGCTCGCAGCGACGGCTCCGCAGATAGGAAGAGACCTCTCCAAAACCCAGTCACGGTCTGGACGAGCATCGCAGCCATGTCGCTCTCGCAGACCACGATCGCGCAGAAGAGAAAGCGCTTCAGCGCAAGCAACATCACCCCTTCCAAGGTGAGCCGCACCACGGACCCCAACAACGACACGGACAGCTCGGAAATCATCGTGGTGGTAAGGAACTGGGGCAGCGCCTTCAACGTCTTCGAGGGCCTGACTCGAGACGATCCGCTCTGGCAGCTTCAGGTCATCCACGGCGGGCGCAATGCTTTCGGATATCAGGTGCTGGCAGTGGCCAGAGAAGCGCTGCTAAAGCACCCCAACAACAACATCCGAGACCTCCAGCAGCTAGAATCGGTCCTGCACGTACGCCTCCTGAACGGAGCACCTCCCCACACCGGCGCACTGGACCCAGATGGCACCGGCATCGAAGCGTGGCAGGTCGTGTTGTACGCGGGCTGCGTGACCAACGCCCTGGACTTCATCCATCTCGTGCTGAAACACAAGGTGGCCAAAGGACAGCTGCTGCAGCTGCCCAACATGACCGTCGCAGGCCCAGACGGAAGCGTCGAGTCCGTGCCAGAACCATGGACACTGAACACCAATCCTCCGCATTGCCCCAAAGCCTTCGCAGTCCTTCCACCCCGTGGACGCCGTCACGTACTCTGTCAAGTGGAATTCTCCGGATCCAGTCCCAAAACAACGAGCAGCCAAGATTCAAAGGAAGAGCCGGAGCCGATCACCGAAGGGGAAGACAAGAACGACGCCAGCTCACTCTACACCTTCAGCTTCTTCGGCGGCATCTACTCCTACCGCGAACTGTTCGACGCGGCCAACGTCGAAGGCGGCTACAACGTGGGACCCGAAGGCAATCGAGATTACGTGCGTACCCTGGAGGTGCTCAACAATCAAGAAGGAAAAGACAGGCTGATGTCTCTGCACGAGCAAGTCTTGTTGAACGTGCCCGTCTACCTGGTAGATGCCACCGAGAATCCCGACGACGAGTTCGTCGCCTGGTTCGCAAGCCTGCCCAACGTAGAGCTCGGAGAGAGAGCCAAGTCGTGAGCTGCAAAAAATGTTCACAAATCAAGAGAGAGGCGCGGCAAAATGCACAGGCCCGCGCCCCACCGTGAGCTGCAGAAGACGCTCACACATCAAGAGAGGCGTGGCAACATGCACAGGCCCACGCCCCGCCTGCATTTGTAAAAGTACGTCCCGAGTATACTTTACAAACGCCCCCGACACGCGAAAGAAAGAAGCATCATGCAAGAAGCACAGGCCGCTTGTCAGAATGCCCTCGCATGTCTCACACTCTCGCAGCAACGGCGCATGCTACACCCGCAGCTCATTGGCTTACTTGCTTGTCGAGACCGCCGCCCCACACCGCGCCTGTGATCATCGAAGACATGTCGGCGACCCGCAGCACTGGCTTCGGTCCGACGCCTGCAACAAACAGCATTATCGACGCTTTCAAGAAAGCTCCGCAAAAAGAGCTCACATCTGGATCGTTCACAGAGAACACGGCCGCAGCCAGCAACAAGAACGATCGCAACAAGGTCGTCTCCTTACTTAGACCCTCTTGCGTACATCACCTTCTACAGCACCAAGCCTGCCAGGACTGTCCTGCACACGCGGCAACCACTGCATCCACGACATTGCCGGCAGCGAGCACGAGAAGCAACGAGGCAACGCCGAAGGCAGCAGCTTCTACGTTGAAACCGTGGTCTGTGCCCAAAAAAACAAACTAAGAAAGAAAGCCGATTCAGCTTGCAGGCCGGGCCAGCAGCTTTTGTTTGATCACAAATACAGGCCGAAGAAAAGTCGACCGAAGTTCCGTCGACTCCACGCGAGGATCTTCGACGAGAACCGCCAAGCAACAACGACCACGCCATGCCACAGGCAGAGTTCGGAAACATGCAACCAACTGGAGATAGGCCATCGTCCCAACAGCACCTCCTCTCACAAACGCTCGAAGGTCGAAGAAGACACATCAGAAGGCGGCTTGGCATTATCGGAATCGCCTGCGGATGCAAAGGCCAGGAAGTTTCGCTTCGCGTTTGCCCACCTGTTGGACACCTGGAATTACCACGCGCAGGCTCCGGAAAAGAAAGCTTCCATCGAGAAGAAGCATGAAGGAACAGAAGATCAGGCCACGCAAACGAAAGCAACCAGCTCGAGTTAGGGCGTCATTTCAACAGCACCTCCCTCACAAACACTCGAAGGTCGAAGGAGAGACATCAGAAGCCCACTTGACCCTTGCAGAACCGCCTGCGGATGTGAAGGCCGGCAAGTTCCGCTGCATGTCTGCTCCGGAAACAAAAGCTTGCATCGAGAAGGAGCATCAAGGAACAGAAGATCAGGCCACAGAACCGCCTGCGGATGTGAAGGCCGGGAAGTTCCGCTGCATGTCTGCCAACCTGTCGCGCCCGTGCGCAGGCTCCGGAAACGAAAGCTTGCATCGAGAAGGAGCATCAACGAACAGAAGATCAGGCCACACAAGAGGCCCCGATGCCTTGTCTGGGGGAGCGAATCATGGTCATCAAAGAGCCATGGTTGCAACTCATCCTCAACAAGCTGAAAACGATGGAAATTCGATGCAGTCCCGCCGAACCGGGAAAGACATGGCTGGCATTCGACGGCCAAGTGTTCGGAGCGGCATACATCTCTAACTGCGTCCAGATCACACGTGAGGAGTTTGAAGCCACCAGGGAGCAGCACCAACACTTGGGAGACATGCCCCCCCACGCAAAGGTCTACGCGCTCACGCTGCAGAACATCGTCCGACTGGAGTCGCCGGTCCCGCACTACCGGCCGCCAACGACAGCACCCTGGACGATCTTTCGCACCGAGCCAGCCGAGAAGGCAATCAGAGGGCCCAAAAGGAAGAGAGCCCTCCAGGCCTCACAAGAAGGGACTGCAGTCCTGCCGATTCTGGGCATGACCCTCCGCGAGACCCCGTCAGAACAAGAAGCAGGAAGTCCGACCTGCTCCGTCATCTCAACGCCAGACAAAGATGACGAGAAAGACGAGCCCACGGCCAAAAAGCAAGATGCGAAGGACAAAGACAAGGAGAACGAGTCCTGAAAAGGCGTGAGCAACTAACATGCTGGCAATGCTTTCACGCTCTTGACCGCGAAAAACTGGAAGAGCCAAACACAGACCAGTTTCAAGCCAACCAGAACACGCACGTCGCCGGAGAGAGAAAAACAATCCGAATTGGCACTGCTGCAAGCAGCCAGCGGTTGCACGTTTTTTCCGAAAGCCATTCTCATGGCATGAGAAGCCACTGGCTCAAGCCAAGCTCGCAAAAAATTTCCAAGCACCATGCGCCGATCCATCAAATCGCTCCGCGACGCAGCAAGCACAGGCGCCAAAAGAATGACATTCTCGCACAGGCGCAACGCATGCTCTTCCTGTGCTCACTGAGGTCAGGAGGACAACATAAGCGAGGCCTACCAAGCCTTCGGCGACACTACGCACGCCTTGAAGATTCGACCAAAATGGCTGCGAGAAATACTCTCAGGCACCAGGAGTCTTTCCCCTGCCCTCGAGTTTCCACGCTAATTCCGAAACTGCTGCCAGTACCCACAGGAACCAAAACCGTGGAACTGCGACCAATGCGCTGTCCGACGAGCCTGCTCATGACGAAGATCAGCTTGATGGAAACAGGCACCAAGCTCATCCGAGGGACAGCATTGATCGGCAGCTCGCATCATCTCACAAAAGACGAAAAGAACCGGTTCTCCAACATCTTGCAGGCCAGGAGCTGGTTGCGGACATGTGCAAAATAAATTGGGGCTTGGGAATCTTGGCCGCGCAGGAGCTCAACTACAACCCCAACAAGACCTATGCATGGACCTTGCGGGAGGTGCAAGAACACTCCCATCCCTTCCAGGCACGTCCTGTCAAACAAAGGCCAAAAAAAACAACTACCCGATCCTGACCCAACACACAGGTGCCGAGCCAAGCAGCACGAGGATCAGTGGTCTGGCTACGACGTGAGCATTGGGCAGAAATGACAGACCGGCAACTCCAAGTGTCAAATAGCCGGGGAAAACACAAACGTTGCGAAGCAACTCCGTTGTAGACGAGCTTGACGGCAAAAAGCCAAGAATAAGAAGCGCCGTACAATGCTCTTTGAAAGATCATCTGCTGCGCCTTCGAGAAACTAGAATCACTAGAATTTCATGCAGCAGAGAAAGGTTTAGAAACCTCAAAACGCCCGTCTGAAAACACAACTCCACACGACATCCATACACAGATAGGTCTCCGAATTCTGCAGCATTTTCTGTTTACTCAAGCAAACACAAGCACGTGCCCCCGGGCTCCCAGAATCCGCCGCCAGAACATGGCGCAACATTTGCCGAAGAGCCCGACAGCCACGCCGAGCCGCCAAAGCCCAAGAGGAGTGGAGCCACCAGTCAAAATCGGATCAGTCGTTGTGTCACTGCCCTCTGGCCGAAGCACAGACATAGAGGTGTACCATGGCACAACAGTACGAGCATTGGCCATGACAGCTTGGCGCCGACTAAGCACAGTCCCTACCTTGTGCCCAGCCGAAGGGCACTTCACGGTGGCAGATTTCGAACTCATGGGCAGAAGCCAGCCGAATCTCGCCCTGCTGAGCAGCGACGGTGAACGCTTACATCTCGACAGCGCCTTCTGGAACTTCGTCCGACCAGAAATGACACTCACCTTGGCTCGGAACTCAGCACAATCGGAGCCGCCAAGCCCTCTCTAAAAGTCCCCAAACCAGCCCGACCGCCACTAAGGTGCAAACATCACGCCAGACGGCGCCAGAAGTGAGCGAGAACACAAATTCGACGACCGCAGAAGGGGACTAGCCTTTTTCCTTAGCCTGAAGACTTACTTCTGCTGCAGAGCTCAAAAGCAGAAGTGCTGCATTCCAGAGCACCCGGGCATGTGAGAGCACGGCGGGTCATGTTCCTCAACAACTGGCCAGGTCAGCAGAATCTCCGCAGCAAGTTGGCTCCAAATTGAACAACGTGCGCATCCATATGCTGCCCTAGCAGCGCCAGGACATGGCAAGATCTCAGTTGCCCGCCAACGTTTGGATGAGCGTGCTCGATTTCGCAGGCGCACAGCACACCATGATCGTGACGGAGGACCCGGACCTACCCCAGGACCCGGAAGACTGGCCCAGAGCCCTCGGAATATGCAAGGAACTGCAAGAGTCGAATATCGTCGAGGACTGCATTTCAAAAGTGCTGATCTGCGAAGATTGCGGAATCCAACACAGGATCGTCGTCCTGACAGCCAACAGGTGGAACTTGACCAGCTCGCGAGCTTTGATGGCAGTCAACCGCAGCACAGCTAGCGGCTTTCATCATCAGGTCGCGCCCAACAGCAGCAACGCGCACCCCAACCTCAGCCGCTGGATCAAGATACACCGCGTCGGTCAGGATTACGTGCAGCTCGAGATGCCGGTCCAGAAGTTTCACACGCTGAAGTGGTCGTGGGTTTTTCCAGGAGCCATTCCCTGCACCTCGCCTCCTCCAAGCATCCGATTCGTTTCACTCTTGAAGGACTACACCATAACCAAGCAAATTCGGCATCACAAGCTCTGATTTCCTGGCACCCGTTTAAAACAGCAAGAGCGAGCATGACTGACAAGAGTCGCGCACTTGCAACGAGATAGTGGTATGAAGTAGCGAGAAAATCCAGGGAACTGCAGGTAAACGCTGACTACCGTGCGAAAAAGAAGGCTGCGCAAGAGACTGCATTATCGCATCAGTTTACCCATGGGCAATGTTGTCACGGCATTTTAGCGCATCTTTACCAGTCACAACATCCCAAAGCAGAAGGCTCGAGAAGTTCCATCTGAGACAAGCCTGCGGCCGACGATACTGCGCGGCACGCCGAGACCCGAATGCGGGGAACCTACAGGCTACGAGATCACATCACAAGCAGCGTCAGTCCCCATCGAGTTCAACGCCGGTCTAGAAGCCCTGCGAGAGACCACGGTCCGGCAGAAGTTCCCTCCGCGACAGAAGTACGGGAACTCCAACAGCAAGTCCGGCATCTCACAGCCTGCGTTCAAGCCTTGCAAGAAGCAGTGACCTTACTCAAGACAGCCTTGCGTCAATCAGCCGAGTCAGCCTAATTCATGCACGCACAACACCTTCACGCGAAAGGCGTGACAATCAACTCGAAGAAGTAGCTCTCAGCCGGCACAACCTTCGCCCAACTGCTGCCAAAACGAAACGCATGTGGAGCCAAACATTGCAGCGAGTAGACATCTACGACCCTCGTCAGTGCCAAACTGCGAATCAAACCAGCGTGTGGCCGCAACGCGGGCTCAAGCCGGAACCAACAACCAAGCACGCATCAGTGAACAAGCATAGAGTAGCGGCAGCTCCCATGTCGACCATCGACTACTCCAAGTGGGAGAAACTCCAGGAAGGCAGTGACGAAGAGGTGTTCCAGCAACCCCTACCTCCGAGCTCACCACGACAGCCCATCAAGGTCGGACCGTTCGCAGTGGCCACTTCTCGCCTTCCAGACGATCCTGCAGCACGCCGCGAAGTTCTTCGTGAACAAAAAGAGCTTCGCGATTTCGTGCGGTTGCATCCCTGTCCCGCAGAAGCAGACCTCCACGCATGGCTTCGCAGGATGCACGAGCACTCCAAGAAGCCACAAGTGAAACACGGCACATTTGCCTGGGTCATGCGAAACATGGAATGGGACTCGCAACACCTTGCGTGGTTCCACTACCCCTGCTTTCGCGTTCTGTGGGAGTCCGCCACTTTGGCACCGAGCACTGCCTTCGTCGGCCAACGCAGCGCTGGCATTACGTTGTACGAGCGCGGGGGCAAACCCTGCATGCAGTTCAACTTCTACGCCCTGCATCACGCCATGGCCGGTGAGGACTTTCACGCGAACGCACCCTTCCCAGTCTACACCTTCGCAGGCGACATTGAAAAGGTCTGGGACGGCATCGGATCGTGGTGGGCATAAAGGACCACAAGAAACAGAACAAGAAGCGCAGAAAAGCAAGAAACGGGCACGCTGCAAGTGCGCGAGCTGTCCGCCCGCGGCCTAAGAAGCACCGCAGCCACCATTTGCATGCGAAGCAAGGTCAGTGCATTTCCGGAGCATACCGGCTCGAGCAGTGTAACTACGTGAGCGGTCAGTGGCAAGCAACGCGCCGGAAGCTCAGACACACTTGCGCGACGAAGAATGTGAGAGCATCATGACGCGATGTGCGGCAATATGAGTCAGATGCGTGCCTAGCGGTCTACAGCTTCAGATTACCATCTCGAATTCGGCCGTGCAGATCACAGCACCTAGTTGCCCAGGACTCCTTTCGCGAGCTGTTCAACGCGGCCAACGTCGAGGATGGCTGCATTGTGGAACCCCAAAGAAATAGAGACTACGTGCGTACCGTGGAAATGTGCAGCAACTAAGGAAGGATACGAGAATCTGAGGTCCCTGCACGAACAAAAATTGCTGAACGTTCACAGCTATCTGGCGGACGCCGCCGAGAACTTCCACGACGAGCTCGTCGCCTGGTTCACCAGCCGGTCTGACATGTAGCTGTACCAAGTAAAGCACAGCAAAATGAACAGGATAGCGCCCCGCTTGCAGTTTTAAGTACTTGCCGACGACAGAAGCGCCAGCTCAACCAGAATGCGAGAGAAAAGACTCCAAGATGCAACTGCGTGTCAGAAGTGTCCGGACACGTGCAGACACTCACGGAACAGCGTGCAAAGACGAGACTGCAGCGCGTTTGCTCATTGAAAAGCGCGTCCACTCAAACCGCTCCTGCGACCATCCGAGACATGTCAGCGACAGGCACCAGGCCTTTTGGACCGACTCCTGCGACCAACAGCATCGTCGACGCTTTGAAGAAAGCTCCACAGCCGCATGACGGAGCCGGTAAGGTCACGGTGCCAGCGGTCAACGACGGCCAGGCCATCAGCTGAACCCAGAGCCCGGTAGTTCACCTGCTGCACGGCCGCTGCCGCCCCTGTCAGGACAATTCCGCACAAGCGGTAACCGCTACATCCACAAAGGCAACGACTACAAGCTCGACAAGCAAACAGGCTTTCAAAAAATCCACT